AGAACGAAAGCTAAAGTAATAGTTTCAGAAGAAGCTAGCAACGTACAGAGGTAATATAATCATGGAGTAAACAGGCAAGATGGCTGCATGGTTGACGCAATTTCCAAGTAATCACCAAAATTTCAGAAAAATAAATGCCGATAAACGAGGATTTTTAGAGGATAGTCCGGATAAACAGTATGAAAGAGTTATAAGTATTCATTTTTCCGCCGTAAAATGATGCTATTAGACTAACATCCGTAGCTAGTGTGTGAGAATAGACTAAGAGCCTGATGGTCACAAGTTGGAAGTAATTTTACCAAAGGATATGATAATGCTGATTGTCAAAAGGAATAGACAATTTAAGCAAAGTGATAAGGTGTTAATTGTTGAGCTTACTTCCATTTCGAGTGAAAGTGTTGGGTGAAGAGATTCGAAGGTCGTTTCCAAAAGAAGACGACGGCGGATTCCTCTTGACCAGCTGTCGAATGGCTTTACGGGAAGATTCATACTGACGCTGTTTCCAAGGCAATCTCCTTCGATTCCAGGAAAAGGTGCTAAGCCTTCGTCCGTCATATGACGGACATCATCAGAGCTAGGTAACATCGTCACAACAAAATTCAAGCTGAGTCAAGAAAACTCACCGGCAAAGCACAACAAAGTGGTATATATACCCTACATATGGCCTCTGATCAAGTATAAAGTGATTTGGTTAATTAAGGTCATATGTCAACTTCGATGCCTGTGAGTGTCTTTCTCTGTATTTGTATTGGCTTATGTACGAAACCGGGAGTGATGACTAAAAGTAATTAGAACAGCAAAAGTAAAGTCTGTTCTTGGTCTTCAAGTTTTGATGACCATTATCTCACCCTTTCTACATACATGTTATAATCATCACGCCGATTGAGCAAGGTCGGACACTCGTCTGGTTTTGCTAATGAGCCTATTTTTTGTTTTCTTGACTCATTAGCTTGAATTTTGTTGTGACGATGTTACCTCGCTCTGATGATGTCCGTCACATGACAGACGAAAGCTTAGCACCTTTTCATCGGAATCGAAGAAGATTGCCTCGGAAACAGCGTCAGCAAAAATGTTCCAGTAAAGCCAATCGACAGCTGGTCAAGAGAAATCCGCCGTCGTTTTCTGGTGGAACCGACCTTCGAATCTTTTTACTCGAAATGCAAGTAAGCTCAACAATTATGAAACAAGAGATTCCTTGAAACCCAACTTTTCTTCGTATATAAGGTGTTAATACAATAAACAGAAATGTGGAAAAATTGGCTTTGGAAGAATCCCTTAATACATTCATACTGGAGTACCTTTCATTTCATTTGAGGAGGCAAGTGAAAGGGATTCGTAAGTTTGCCTCACCAGAAGTTGTAGGGCGATTGTGTTGGGGCTGTGATAATAGATTTGTGCGAATGGGTCCTCGGTGCACCGCTCTGCGACCCCGATTAATCCCTGCTGAACTTTTATCCGTCATGTGATGGACATTGTCAGAGCAGGACACTATGGTTTACGATAATTCACCAAGCACAAAGATAACAAGGGTGGCTGGCTTCAATAATACCTACTTTTCATAGTTTGGACAGGCCCACTTAATCGGGCATTTCATGATTTGGTTGGAGATCCCGTGCTTTTCCTACATGCTGCTGAAAAGTGAAATGGCTGCAATTGAAGAGTGAAATGGAGGCAATTGTGACCAATAGCTGCACCCTTCCCTACAACACTTATCTTTTTTTTGTTTGATGCTGCACTGGTGCCGCATGTGATTGTGTTCCATTGCATGTGTATTGCGTGCATGCAATGCTTTTGAGATGCATGGGAGTTAGGAGTTAAAACCAGATTTGAGGCTAATCAAGCCTCTTCCTCTTGTTCGGCGATACTTCTTGTTTCCCCTCTATCATTCTCTAATCCTATTCAACAGTCACAGGTAGTTTCCACTTAATTTCCCGCACTGGTTCTTTTTTTCAGGATGTTGGCTGTTTTGTTGAGTTATATAGATTCTCTATATTCCGCCTACTAATATAGTCTCCATATCCAGCGTTTGACATTAGACCAGTCTATCTGGTGTCCTGTGTGTGTGCTCGACCAGGCGACTTTTGGACACATACTTTTTCGGGCTGTTTTATGTTCAGATATCCTCTTATGTATGGGTTGACAGGTCTCCCCACATAGACACTACCACGTGAACATAAAACCTTATAGCAGCCCGATTTGGAAAGGGGTTCCGAAATTTATCGAAAACATGGCATTACTGAAAAATGTGTCCTTTTTTGCGTATACATTATCCAGTCGTCCCACTTTCTCATTGATTCACATACCCTACACCAGAGCTGATAAGACGGTAACATCATGACCGTAGTCAGGTGCTCCAGCTTCCTACCTCGTCCCAAATAGACACGTCCATACATTGTATTCGTTAATATTTATTTTATATTCAATTGATCCTAATGGGTAATCATTCCAAACTTAAATTTTTCCTATTATCATGGATTTCATAATCCCAACTTTAAACCCATAAGTATGGTTTGATAAGAAATTAAAAATGAATCCCGCATTTGTGGGTTTCCCATACAAATGCCGATCTAGTTTGCTCCCTTCTTTGCTAACTACGACTCTATAAAAGGTAAACTACCATCCTTTTCTAGTTGAATGGTGAATTTGATATCTCCATCGATTCCATTAAACAATGTCAGGAGTTCTCCCAGGCTTTCTTCGCCCTGTTGACATACGGCAAATTAGTCACCCATGTACCTAGCCGACAATTTAGGAACT